AGTCTTTTCAGGGAAGATTCAAAACAAGGAGAGGAAAGTCACAGAAGCCGCCAAAGTTGTCAATGTAGTTTTGCTTCAAAGGATAGCTAGGAATTGCTCTGTTTTAAGGTCTGTTCATAGCTGAAGGCTGGGTCTTTTGGGAGGGGTAGATGTGATTGCTGTCCTTAGAATGCTTCATTTTACTGATTTCCTCTGGTTGTTGGTGTGCAGCAGCTTAGAAGGATGGTAGCTGACTGAACACCCTTTTGATTTTAAGGAAATAGCCTCAATGGTGTTTGTTAATGCCTTCCTTTTGGATGGGGAGGAAAACCTTTCCCTCGGTGTGGCTTGGAGTAGTGCTACTCGGTAACGTGTGCTCTGACAGCAAATCTAAGATCTGATCTAGGGATTGCATATCCTTAGAAACTGCTACTGAAAAGTTCAATTTGCTGCAGTTGAGTATCTTCTCAAATCCTACCAAGATGAATCATTCTGTCCCAAAAGGCTTTGGTGGTGTTCCTCACCCCCGTGGGGAGAATGTGGATATAGTCTAATGGCTGGTGTGCTCTGAGGAGATTTTTTTCATGACTTTTTCTCCCTCCAGCTGCAGCTTCTGGTATTCAGCTGCTTCATTCCTGAGAAATTTCTGTTTTCTGCTTGTAAGGTCTTGTGTGCTAGGACTGTCTTTTCTCTCTTCCTTGTCTAGAGGTGTCCTGTAACTTGGACTTTGCTTCCTTTCCCCCTTTGCTAGCAATTGTTACAGAGCTGCGGTAGCACAACAAGTGTAGAGCAGAAGTTCCATAGCTACTGATATCTGACAGAAAAGGAGTCTGCTAAGGTCTCAGTGCTGCTGAACGGAGGCAATTTATATCTTGTAGTAGTTTTTAATAAAAGAAATAAACCAACAGAAAAACTACAATCCCCCTCCTCCTGTTTTAGCAAGCTGTGGCAGAAGCATCTCTCGGGGTGAGCAGAGTTAATTGTCATCATTGCAGCATTGACTGACAACCTGGAGGATGATAATATGTGATTTTTTCTTTTTTTTCCGGGTGAGCGGGGGAGGAGAGTGGAAATTGCAGTTTCTCTGCTAATTGTACTTTAGATGTCATTTGTGACAATTTCATATTGTCTAGACAGAGATAGTGGAGCAATTGCTTCCACAGAGCCTAGTGTTAGCCTGTTATATATCTGGGTAGCAAAAATGGAGGATGTGAGAGAGGAGGAGGTTGCTGTAAGCTGCAGAAAGGATTTGGGAGTCAACATGGTCTACTGAAATGTTTTGAAAGGAGGTGCAAGCAATATGCATTTCTGTTTTCTCTCTGCACACTTCTCTGGTGGAAACTTAGTTGTTTAGTGGCTTACAGGTGTCCATAACAAAGCTGCTTCTATTTACGCATGGATTATATTTATCCTCCTTAACAGAAATGCTAAACCTTAGCATGTACTGTGGTGTGATGTTGGGCTACCTTACACTTTGGGCTTACTGCAGTCTGTATCTCTTCTGGAACTTTGGGTGGTGAAAGCTGTGTGTGACACCTAAGACTTGGTAGAGTGCAGCATGACTTACTTTAAAAATATTTATCTTCACCTTCCTGGGAGGCAGTAGGTTACACTACCAGTGTCACAGATGGGACACTTTATTGACAGTTATAGCAGTGTATCTGTTATTGAACCCATTTGTCAGTGCCAAATGTCTTTGGATCTGTAACTTTAGGTCACGAAGGCTCAGTCTAGAATGAGTTAGTTAAATAATAGATTTTATATGTGCTTAGTACACTGCTTTAGTACAGATATTGTTTTTCTCTGGAGCATTAAGCACAGAGATGGTCCATCTGGATCTCATGAGATTGCATGTTGCCTTGTTTGAAGCTTTTCCTATTGTGTGTATTTATATCCCCTGGTTCATTGCTCTGTGATCTGAGAGAGCACAGTTATAGGGCAATTAAGATCTACCAATTAACCATAAAATCAACTATAGCTTTTAGCAGTTACTATTAAATGAATTATCTTTGTCCACCTGATCTGAATGTGGCCATAGTATGTGACTTGTGGGCCTCAATATGAGGTAGTGCAACAGCTGAGTTTAGTCTTGGTGGGCTCAGAAAGGTCTGCTGGAAAGGCCATCTTAGCTGGCACAATTCAACTCAGACTGTACAGCCTCAGAAAGGGTCCTGGGGAATGTGTTTAACAGAGTGTCATCCTGCTCCTCACAACCCTGTAACTCCTGGTCTTAGGGAGCCCTTCTGGTGAAGGAGCTGCTCCTGCAGCAGCAGCTGCTGTTGCTGCTTGGGATGGAGTTGCGGTCTGTTCAGGCAACATCACAGGACTGTCGAAGCCTTTAGGAAGCCTGTTTACCTTGACACTTGGCCATCCTGTGCCTCAGGCAACTGTTAGTTTGTGTTTTACTAAAGTAATACATACCAGTTCTCTGAGGTACCAGATGCTAGAGCAAGATTCTTCAAGTATTTATTTCAAGGATTGGATGGGGTGTTAAGACAAGCACTATAGATTCCTCCAAGTGCTGTTCTGAAGTCAAGCAGAGGGTCTCCTGACAGACTCACAGCAAGTTAAAATGACATATGCCCTGTTTCTGCTTCTGCACCCTTGTGGTGTCCTCTGGTTGGTATAGATTTTGATTTCCTTCAGTACAGCTGCTGGTGCTGCTTTCTGAAGGTGATCCCTCAAAGTCTATGATCTTGTTAGGCAGTTGCCAGCCTTTCCAAAATGAGAAGACAAATATGCGTGGAGAATACCAAGAGATTTCTTTCTAACAGGGTCTGCTGGGCTGGGCAGCAGGTACTGATCATCTTCCCTTGTGGCACTGACTTTGCTGCATCACTTAGTGGACAGATGCTGAAAGGCTGGAAAAGAGGGTGGACTGTATAGTGTATAGGCACCAAGACTTTTGACAGGGATGAGTTTGATGATTATTTGTGTGTACACATTATCAGAACACTCTAGGCATTGAAGGGACATGACACCAGACAAGTCTGTTGCATTGTGTGTAGCTTGCTCACATCAGGAGGCAGCTGCTGTTTCTAGGGTTGTGGCCTTCCCAGAATCTGCATGCTGTGGAAGTTCTTTCTCCATGACTAAGTCCAGTGATCAGGCAGGATGTTCCAGTAGGGTGGCAGCCTTGGCACATCCAGGCTGCTTGCAAACTGCTGGCTTTGGACCACTCTTGCACAAGCAGCTCTGAAGAGCAGATGTTGGTGTTGCAGTGGCAGTAACCTCGACTCTGAACTCTGAGCCAGTGGGTTTGGAAAGCACCAGCTGACTGAGTAGTAGAATATCCCTTTTGCTAATTTCAATCTGCCTACTTTCTCTCCAGAAGGAATTAAATAGTTTATATATGATACAGGTGATAGGTATACCTCGTAAGTTTTAGGACTTCAGGTATACTTGAAGCTGTAGCAGTGTTTATTCTGGATTAGCTACTTTTGCACATAATTGACATATATTTGGAGAAGAAGAGAGGGCTTGGTAAGACAGGATTGAAGTAAAACAACTTTCTGAGGAGCCAAGGGATTCTCAATATCTAGCAGTGTTGAAGGTTAGAGCCTTTGACTTGGGAACCCGGGGAATTAATTCATCTCAAAGTTAGGAGATTTAATAACTGTTCTTGAATAAGACAAATGGTTGCCAAGCAACATTGTGCTAGAGAGGACAGGGTTTCTTGCCTTCTGTAGAGTCCCACTGCTTTGTAGCAAGCACTGAGTTTCTTAAGCTGACATAGTCCTTTCCAACTAAAAAACTGGAGTGATCTCTTGCTGTTTTCTGCATTCCAGATCTATAATGTAAAAAAAAAAAAAAAAAAAAAATTCAATTTTAATTGCCAGAAGGCAGTAAAAATTTGTCTTGAGATTAGATGGGTGGGGTGCTGCTGGATAAAAACATGTCTCGTTTTGATTCTATTGTCTTTATATGGCTAGAAATGGGAAGTTGGGTCTGGATTCTATCTGTGCTTCTTCCTGCTTGCTGTCCTGCACTGCAAATGCTAACTGTGCATTAGGAGTGTAGGGCTAAGACTGAGAGATTCAAATCTTTCTCAACAGTTGTGTGTGAATAGAACAGATGTGGTGCTGGACCTCTTTGTTTCAAACTACAACAGTTTTCATTAAGTTAGAGATTGGAAAACGGAATTTAGCAGTTCTGAGGCAGAACAACTTGAAAGAGAACTCAGCAGTCTTATAAACTTTTTTTTTCCCCACTTTCTATACTTGCCCCAAATCACCTCTCTTATGTTAGTCTAATGGCTGCAACAGGCCGTGAGTCAGTCTTGAAACAATACTGTTCTCTGCTTTATGACAGAAGCTAGATAGAAGTGCATGTAGAAGCCAGGGTGGAGGACATGTTCCTGCTATATACTTTTGATTCTGCTGCCTTCATGACTCAGACTCACTTCTCTCAAATTCAGGCTCTCTGGCTGCATTTGCATACATTTACTTCTTGAGTGAATATTTGGTATCTCTCCCTGTGGCTGATAAAAATACAGAGGAATAGAACCTTTTTTTTGTAGCTGAAAACCTCTCTTTCAGAGCCTTGAGGCTAAGACTGAATATTTTACTGTGAATAAACACCAGTGGTGCCCTTAAAGTCCAGATGCCGAGGTGTGTTCTTTGTTCTGTGCTCCATGGCACATTCCATGTGTAGCCACCTTTATGTAGGTAAGAATTTTACAGATGGACACGGCAGTGGTAGTGTTTATGGACCTGACATGTTTGGATGGCTTATCTCTAAAGGAGAAGTGGCATCTGCATCTTTCTCTTGGAACTTGGAAGCAGATTTGGGACCACTCTTCTTCCTTACTCAGGGAGTTCTTTCTTTTGTGCAGTGAGAATATTACACTTTGAATAGCTGTGTGGTGAAAACACTTGTGCCATCAGTGAGTGGTTCAGTATGTTGTGGAATTCTCTGCACTCTTCATAGAGATAGTCTTAAGAGGTTTTAGAAAGTAGGGCATAAAAAGGAGGGATGTTCCTGAATGGTCTTTGACTTTATAGTTTGTTTTTCCTTTCTAGGAGGTTGCTGGAGTCTTCCCTCATTTCATTATCTCGCTATGATGGAGCAGGATCCCGGGAACATCCGATCTACCCAGATCCCGCCAGGTAACAGTTAAATGCAGTCTAAGTGCATTTAAGTTTTATAGATAAAAGCATAGCTTCGGTATAACCCACTGAATCCTCTGAGAATGGTTCTCAGACTGGGCTCATCTCCTCTTTAATGACTTGCGATGGGGACAGAGTGCAGAATAAGTGAGAAGATGCTGCTAAGTCTGGGGCAGAATGAGGAAAAGAGGAAGGAATTACTGTTAAAGTAAGCACATAAGGATCCTGAAATCATTTGGGATGGAGAACACTAGGTGGCAAGCAGGCCCAACAGTAAATGAGATATATCAATATATTCAAAATCTCTTATGAAGAAAAACGAAGAAAAAACAAATAATCTATTCAGGAGAAAGAGGGAATGCAGGAAAGGCAGTTGGGAGCTGGTGTGAGCAGACAGCATACTTGGAAGAATGAATTGTCTCCATTAATGTATCCGTATGAGAGAGAGCATAACCAGGAGGTTATGTATACTTAACTAAGAACAAAATACTGACAGTTATTTCTGAAGAGTCATGAATCATTGACATTAGACATAGAAACACCTGTAGTGCTGCTTAATCTTCAGAAGAGGTGGGAGTGTTTCGGAGGACTAGAAAAAGCAAACGTGGCAGAATTATCAAAAATGGAAAGGAGTGATCTTTGCAGTTTCTACTTAGTGTATTAAGAAAGCAACAGATGGGATTATGTGACCCGCAGACTGTGTCAGAAGAAATGATAGAATCGTGAACAGCAAGCAGCTTTGGAAGCTTTCAAAGAATAAATCGTGACAAATAAGCTTTCTTTAGATGAGTTTAACGAAGGTATGAATGAGGAAAATTCAGTAAGTGTAAAATATATCTGATTTAGGCTTCTAGGGAACCTCTGGCATAGCTGCACGAATTGAAGGCTGCTAGAATAGATCGTAAAGAAGAGTACAGTAATATCACTGCATGAAAATTAAATCTTAAGTTGCTGAAGGTTTGTTGTTTTGTGGGTTTTGGTGGAGGTTTTTAATCTCGTTATTTTTTTCATCATTAACAACAAAATCTGCAGTTTTATACCAATTGTACTCTAAGTACAAGTTCTGAAATAAAAGTCTGTGCTGCAAACTGGCCAGATGGTAAAGTTGTGCTGGTAAATAACTCCTTGCTAACTATCTCTGTAGATAAAGCCTTGTATAGGTGAAATCTTACAGTAGACTTTTTTTCCCCATTTATCATGAAGAAAGTTGGTTTGTAAAGATAATTCCAAGGCTTAGGAATGATGTAAACAAAACATCAATGGAAGTAAGGTGGTGGAATATGCTCCTACATGTAAAGTCATTGGGAAACGAACTTAAGTGACTGCTGAAGGTCTTGGCAACTGCATGTCTGAACCACGCTGGTAAATGTAAAAGTTTCTAAATGGCAGTTGATTAAATGACAGGTAAAGGGATTGGTTTGGAAAGTTGGATTTTGATTTTAGAGAGACGCAAATAGTATTTTACAAATGTTAATTAAAAGATATTATTACATTCAGGTCAATTTATGAATGCCAAGAGCTGCTAATTTCTGGGAGCGCACCATTTCTTATTTCTGAAATGCGGAGTCCAAAGCAGGCAGATTGATAGAGCAGAGATTTTAAGAATTGATTCTGGCTCTCTTGGAGCTGCCTTTTAAAAAAGAAAAGGACAGCCTGCCTAGGTTACTGAATTTTTTCCCTCCTGTCAGATGTCTGCTGTGATGAAACTCACTAAAGTGTATGAAAAGCGGTCAATGCCTGAGACATTTCCTAGCATAAGGAGAATTGTCAAAGATATTTTTCTACTTGAAGCCATCTTTTAACCAATACGATGCTCTTCATGTGACAGGTCAAGTGGTGTTTAGGCTGTGGTAGAAGCTATAGTGGTTTGAGTTTATAAGGTGCTTTGGAAGAAAAGTCCACTGTTGCAACCTCTTCTAAGAGAGTTAATTTGTTCGGGTAAATATCACTGTCCTTTTCAGATAGATGCATAATCAGTAAGAGCTGGAAATTTGAGTGGGGTAGGATTCAAGTCTTCCTCCATAAACTTTACTCGTGTGCTAGGCTAGCAGGATATTTTTAACTGTCCCTTTAATTCGTTAGAAATTTGGGAAGTGATTAAAAGGAGTGTTACTGCATCTTGAGGGTTTTTTTGCAGCACAAGTCCTATGAGGAGAGGCTGAAGGAGCTGGGGTTGTTTAGCCTGGAGAAAGAGGAGGCTCAGGGGAGACCTCATCACTCTCTTCAACTACCTGAAAGGAGGTTGTAGCCAGGTGGGGGTCAGTCTCTTCTCCCAGGCAACCAGTGGCAGAATGAGAGGACACAGTCTTAAGCTGCACCTCTAGTGCTCTGAACTGCACCAGATCTGTCCAACTTCTTAAGTTGGACATTAAGAAGAAGTTCTTTACAGAGAGAGTGATTGGACATTGGAATGGGCTGCCCATGGAGGTGGTGGAGTCACTGTCCCTGGAGGTGTTAAGAAAAGACTGGATGTGGCACTTAGTGCCATGGTCTAGTTGGCAAGGTGGTGTTGAGTCATAGGTCAGACTTGATGATCTCAGAGGTCTTTTCCAACTTAGTTGATTCTGTGATCATAAGTTTGAAATGTAAAGTTATGTCTTTGAGATGTTAAATAGCAAAGGGGAAAAGTGAAACAAAGGTGAAATAAACATACATCTGTATCTGTAAGTAAACATCTATATTTGTCTGTCTGTGTATGTGTGTTTTAAATATATATTAAAAATATATATACCTCCTCAAGACGAAGCTGTGTCCAATAGAGTCTTTTTTTAAAACAGTCTGAAAAATTTATTTTTGAGCATGTGTGTTAATTTTGTTTCTGCATCTACTGTCTGTGATGGTTCTATATTTGAATAACCTAGGTCAGCAGTGAGGGGGAGAACATTTTTTTGAAGTTCCCTCGGATTTAGAATGAATATTCTGATGTAGACTGCAGCAGTATTTCTCAGTGGCCTTGCTGAACTTTTTTAACGTCATCTTGGCCGTTCTGTCATTCTACAGAGTTTCCATATGTACTGACCTCAAAAAAAAATCTGCAGAGGAATCAAATAAAGCTGTCATCAAAGAACGCCTATATTATTTTTTTAAAATAGAAATACTCAATAAGGTGCTCAAAGACTGCGTGTATAAAGCATCCCAGAAGTGTTTGGTAGAAGTGTCTCTAGAAAAAAATCTAAGTTGCTAGAAAGTAATTTATCCCTTACACCTTTGTCTCTTTGTATCAGACTTAAGCTTCTTGTGTTGTGTTTGGAAATCCTTTCCACATTCTATCCAGTATGTGTACCATGTGCTGTCAGGAAGCTGAATCTGGCATCATGTCATCCCCTGTGTCCAGTGCTTATTGCCTGTCCTTTCACGGTCTTCTAACAAGCATCATAGTGCTTTTTCTTCTGGCATCTGGATAATTTTAGAAGACTAAATATCTGCAAAACTCATTCTTCATATCCTTCTGTAAAACTCTTCCTTGGTGTGATATTAGCAAAAAGGAAAGTTTCAGTGGTTACTCTGCTGGACTGCTGAGACCACTGTTGATGTTTTCCAGTGTTCCCTTGTTTCCTTGTTCCTTTTCTTTCTCTGTGTGCACATATAGTGCTGTAGACTTATTTTTAGGTGTGCACAAAGGCTTTGGCTTATGGGAAAGGCCAAAGAAGAGAACAGCTCCTTATTTATGAGGGTGCTTCTGTAATGCCTTGCTTTTTTATACTTGGCTTATTTGAGTCTTCTGGGGAGTAGAGAGAAGTGCTTTTTATACATCAATGCCTTCTACTTGATGTAAGCATAAAGAGATTTAACTCATTAAACAGAGCATAAAAGATTCAGGAGGAATTAAAATCAAACTGAGTACGTGGTTCCCTTTACCCTTTTGCTGCTTATTGACTTAGGTGTTTACAGCCCTGCACCTGTAGTCTGTTTGCTGAGCTTGCCGCTTTACCAGGATAGCAGTCTGGTAAGGTACAGGGACCTTACCGTGGGGAAGTTGCTCTCTTTGTGTCTACATGAATTCCAGTTCCCTCCTTCTTGCCACCTTCTCTTTTGCTTACATGCCCAGAATGTATGGTGGAATTAGAGATTGAATGTCCTTGATGGGTGTCTGCAGCAAAAGCAGTGTTAATAAAATCTGCTCTTTGAGGTATTAATGCTTTTCTTTTCATGCTGCTTTAGAGAGCAGTCTCTAGAAATGCTATTAAACGTAGTTTTCCATTGAAATATGATTTTAGGGATAGTAGGAGAGCACTTTATCAGACCTGGTGTGATTATTTGCTGCCCCTGCTATTGTGGATGTGAAATGTATCCATATATAAGCAAAATATTATTTCCAGTACGTTTCAGCAGAATCAGCACAGCTTTGGAAGGAAGTAAAAATAAAAAGTCTTTTATCAGAGATGATTATGGAGTTGCATTTTTGTCACTGGTTATAGTGTAGCACAGTGAAACTGTGTGGTATCAGTCACTATAAAGTTAAACGTATCTTTAAAAGTCTTCATGGCTGAAGGTGAGGTCGACTGTAAAATTAATTTAGTTAGAAACTCTTCTGAAAATGGGCAGACAGGCCACCTCCCTTTGTGATTGTGAATGAGTGTGTTTATGTATATGATTATCCCCTATCCCCTGGTCATCTGAGGTTTTTTGTTTTATTTTTTGTTTAAAGCTGTTCAGAGTTTTATTTATAGATTTAAAATTAGGGCTGCTCTCTCCATTAGTCTCTTGGCTGTGGTGCCTTTGCAGGAAATGAGATTGTATTTTCATGACTCTGGGAAGTACCAGGCTGGTAACATGAATAAAAAAGAATAAAATGAAACACATGTATGAAATGGGAAGAGAGGAGAAGGGAGCTAGAAGGTAAAGGAATAGACATCTTATACCTAATTTCCAGGACGGGGGCATTGTTGTCATCTCCCCTTCTCCCCTCAAATTAGAATTCAAGGCCAATCCAAATAAGGCTAATAAAATGATAAATCAAGTATCTGAGGTGTCTGGATATTAATACTGAGTAACTGTGTCACAGAAAGCATGTGCAAGGAGCTGTGGGTATAGGCAGGGTAGGAAAAGAGAGTGTGTTTTCACCAGTCTAGCATCAAGTGAGTAGTACTGGTGTGTGATAGCTGATGCAAACAAAGGCTAGGTTAGGCATGAGAGAGAATTAAGAGTTAATCTCAGAGGAAAATTTTCCTTTCAGGTGGGGTGTGAGGCTTTTGAAGCTCCACTTAACATACATCTAGTGGATCTGATGAAATTGCTGCTATCCCTGCCGTTTAGATTATCAAGTAGTTAAACAAAGGTGTGAAACCTTTTCTTCTGCTTGATACTCCATGGTGCTCCATAAGTGCCCTCAGAACAAGGCCATCTTCCTTCAATGTTTATGTGAACGCTGCTGCTGTTTGGCATTGCAAGCAGAGTTCACACTGTGGCTGGGCTTGGTTCTTGTAAGTAATGCTTGCTAGGCTTAGTTGAGTGAACTGGTAATAAACGAATTGATGAGCTCCAAGGAGTCCTGAAAGCAAATATCCCTGTACTGTGGATGAGTGTTTTGTCTATAGGTACTGGGTAGTGCTTCTGTTTGCACAACAAAGGAATCACATGGGAGTGCAGTGTATAAGGCGAAAATTACTTCTACTAGCTTTCCTTATTTACTCTGTCTTATGGATAAAATGCAAACAGTGTGTTTTGTGATACGCTGTTACTGACCTGCCACTTGGAGTTCAGAAGAAAAATAAGGACTGGCTGTCATTCTGTACTTGTGTAATGAGTATCTGCATATCTTTCTCTTGCTCAGATTGTCTCCTGCTGTATATTATGCTCAGAGGATGATCCAGTATCTTTCCCGGAGGGACAGTATTCGACAACGTTCTATGCGATACCAGCAAAACCGTCTCCGCTCTTCCTCCTCCTCTGCTTCCACTTCAGAGAACTCAAGCCCATCTGTGGAGGGAAATGATCTGGAATTTGAAGATTTTGAGTAAGTGTGCATGCTGCCTTACCTTCCTGCTTGAGTCTGTTGTCAGCACAAGACTGTTTTCTGATTTCCTCCTGTTTACCAATCAAAGACACCTTAGGCAGGTTAAGTCAATCAATAATTAGAGTAGTGATTGCTACAAATAGGTCTTATAATTTCTGTTATGACAATTAAGTATGCTGTAGCCTACCTTCAACACATCAGGCTATCTCAACCAGATTTAGAAGACTGGTTAAATAAAGAAAAGGAGAATCTTTTTCTCCCATGGAACAGATGGGGAACCAGGAGTTTACTAGAGCTATCAAATCTTGAGACAGAACAGGAACCACTGAGAGGCTTTGCAGGACTTCGTTCTTTGGTCTAAAGCTGTAGAAGACAGTCAGACATGTCTCATTGCTTTTACTTGCTCTATCTTTATAACTTTGTCAAATTACCTGAAGTTCCTGGGATTGGGTTGGGGTTTTTGTTTGGTTTGGTTTTGTTTTGTGGTTTGGTGGTTTTTGTTTTTTGAGGTTTTTTGGGGTTTTCTTTTGTGTTTGGTTTTTCTTCTTTTCTGTTTTTTGGTTGGTTGGTTTTGGGGGCCTTGGGGGCTTGGTTGGTTTTGTTTGTTTGTTTGTTTGTTTTGGTGGCTTGTGTTGGGATTTTTTTTGTTTTAAGATTTGGTGATTGTGAATCTGTGTTAAGGCTTATTTTCCTATAAGGAGATAAAAAGGCCTCTTGTGTCAAAGTGAGGAATTTAGATTAAAATCTATTTTGAATCTAATGCAGAAAAGAGAATATGACCTTTCTAGGCTGTCTTCAGTAATTTCCCTTTTCTTTTAAATATGGGATTTTCCCTGGACACTCTTAAGTACTGATCTTTTTTTCCTCCCTTTGTGCAAATTACAGTTAAAACACAGGGTAATTCTGAGCATGGTTGTAGAAGTAGTCTATGGTGGTAGTGTAGCAGGGAGGTGTGTTTCATGGGAGCTGTGAACTCCACAAAAATCCATACTCTTATGTTGCACTTGCCAGCAAAGGATTCGGTCAACTTAGCTGCTATCTTAACTTGTATGGTCACTTGCTGCTGCCGTGGCACATACTTGAGATGGCATGTTGTTAAAGCTCCATGTCCTTTGTGTCAGGGTGAAGCCCCTTTATGAAGGACTTTAGTAACACTAGCTATTCCCAAAGCAAGATATCAATCCCTTTCTAAGTAGTGGTAGACTTTTTTTCCCCTTAGAAAGTTGTTCTGGGAAGCTGTCACTTCATGCTCCAGCAATTAGATGTTCTGAAGTACAGGGTGAGTGAATGTCTTTCCCTGTCATTGTGGCCTTGTTTGTGTAAAATGTAAATGAGGGGAGATAATGCAAAATAGTCACTGCCTAGTAGCTTTTCTCAGGCAGCTTTGTGGTCTGGAAGAGCAGAAATGTGGTGGCTGCTTGGTGTGTTTTGTGAGGTGGGTGTGTTGCAAGCATAGACCTTACTATTTCCATTATTCCCTTTCATCCATCTGTGGCATCTTGTTCTGCTGGAAAAAATAAAAGATGGTAAGTTCTTCATTCACAGGGCCAGGCAAATGCCTGCAGAGAAGTGTGTTCCCCTGCAGATAATGTTCACACAGTAAGAGCACCCAGTCAGGGAAGCAATCCAATCAGCTGTGCTAAGGTGGTATTTCATACTGAGCAAAAAGCAGTGTTTATGCCTTAATATGCAGTGGCTGAATTTGTTAGTTGAGTATTTCATATTGAATTCTGGCCTGTGCATTCAAGACCCGCTGTCTTTTTCCTTCTCTGCTTCATTTTCTCCTGGCTGATTAGAGAGAGCTGCTGTGCGGGGGTCCTTAGAGCGGGAACTTGTCTTGTGACTCATTTGATTTCTTCTGCTGAGACTTCACAATTAAATCTCTCACACAGAGATCTTGCTTCTCCTTTTGGCTCCTGTATCCCTCTTTTCTTACTTGCTCACCCGTGCAGTCGTGTATTTCTTCATGGATGAATTTCTTGCCCTGGTTTAGCTGCTCTGACTTCTCTGCTTTTCCAGATCTGATATAGGACTGGGAGTTGCTACTGTAGCTGTCTGCAGCTCATGCTTTTCTCCTGGAATCCAGTGGTTTATTGTTTTTACATAAAAGCCATAGCAAATTTCCTTGGTGCTTTATCTTTTTCTGTTTAATGTATTTGGTAAAAATTTTCTCTTCTCCCAGAGATTAGGAGAAAGATGTGAGGGACACCAGTTGGTTTTACTATTCATAGAGCTCTGGGCAAGGAGTGAGCCCTGTGACCTTTGCAGAGTGCCTGAGAGATGAGTGTTCCTCTTCTCTCATCTTTTGTGGGATTCTGAGGGTCTTTTTCTCCTGAAAGATTAATTTTGTATCTTTTCAGTTTTATTTGGCTAATAACCTAGTAAGGGGCATGAAAAACTTGGCCTGTGCGCTGTTTGTGTATATATGGCCTCTAAATTTAAATTAAGGCCTCTCCTTTGTCTCAGTCTAATGGTGAATTCGTTCATAAATACATTTAATTTGTGACAGCAGTAGTGTTGGTATTAGAATGTGAAGTAATGGTTTTTATAGGTATTAGTAGTATTGTTCTTTTACACCAGCTTTTGTGAACAAGAGAGGAGGAGGGAGACATGCAATACCTGTGTTTTTTGGTCTAATAAGATGTTCTTTCTCTACACGTTTGCCTATGTTTAACCTGTCACTGTTGTCATCTTACTGCTTGTTGAATGCAGCTGTCAACTGTAAACTTAGTCATGTTTACATGAAAGCATTTAATACAGTTTGTAATATATATACAGATTGTAATATTAGGGTTTTAAGGTTAGCTTTAGCAGAATCCTAAGCTAAAATGAAAATGAAATGAATTCTGGAGTAATAAACTCTGAATGGAGAATGACATCACTTTAGTATTCCAGCACAATTGGTAAAAACAGATTCTTTGTAGACAAGTCCTTTCAAGTTCTTATTTGAGTGTCTTATGTTTAAATCACATAGTAAATTTAGATTCTTAGAGCTAAAATATTTTCTTTTGACTTTTTCAATTATTTTGACTGGATCTCTTCTAGGCACTTCCGTTAGTCTAGAACTGCTTTTTGATGCTGAAGATTGTTGGTGATGCTTCCAGGACTCCTTGGATAGTGCAGTCTAATTTTTTTCATTTGTAATTCTAAATTTGTCACCATAATCAGAAGGTGAAGCTGTTTCTGTAGATGAATTTTGGCCATCTATGTCCCTTTTTTGTCTCCAGTAAGTGAGGGAGCAAATACAGAAATACAGTTTTGTTTCATCTGTCAGACTGGAAACCAGATACAGGACAGTGCACCAGCTCACTGCCTGAAAGCCTGACTCTAATCCTTCACTACAGTTCCGTAAAGGCTTTCAAGCTAAGGCTAAAGGTGTGACTGTGGCTGACTCTTCTGTCTGCTTTTGAGAGTGGGATGCCTGGTAGAATATAGATATGAAGGAGCTTGGAGATTACAGTCTTTTAATGTCTGCGGCTTTCCCCCGTTTTATTCTTTCCTTTTTTCTTTCCTCCCAGCAGGATCTGCACTGGAGTGGATCCATTCAGCTGTGCTATTGTCACAGGCTAGGAAGGTCTTTATTGTGTCTTGATAACAAGAAGGGCTTTACCACACAGGCCTGAAGTATTGTTTTGGTGCTTTATCTTTTTAATTTCTTTCAAGACACCACTGAGTATCCAGACAGAGAATATGACAACTGTAGGCACTGTTTTCCTGAGACCATAATGGACGTTCTGGTTTTGTGGAAGCAGGCTCTTGCTTTGCAGAGACGATTAATCATTTAGGGAAAGCTTACAAAATTCAGGGTGGTGGCATTTGGCTTTGTCACCTTAAAATCCTTTTGTGTAAGGCATGTTCTGGACCAAGAGTTGTGGTTTCTCAAGGGTCTCCTCACAAGTGTGTAAGATTCATGAGTATCTGCCATACCTGCCTTCTGCCATTTTTGATTGCTTTATCGACACTGTCATGGCAAGTCCTGCCAAATCCAAGTTCCTCCAATAGCCTTGTCTCGAAAGGTTTCAAGATCACAACTTGACAGCTGACTGCCACCGCATTACAGCTGTGAGTCTTACTTCCAGTTTCTTGTGTGTGATTTTCATTAATTTTGAAGAAGTGTATGGTAGTGTTTGGTTTGGGAGTCTGTTTTGTGTCACAGTGCTCCACTTCAGGCTGGCATTCTGGTTTAACTTTTTTATGTATTAAGGAGAAAAGTGCATGTCTGATTAGACATTCATGTGACATATCCAGGCAGTCAGCCTTCTTTTTGGAAAGTCTTCATTTAAAGTACATTTTGTTGTTAGTTTCTTTAAGAACCTTGACTGGTGTATTGATATCTGACAGTATTAATTAGGAACTGGCTGGATGCAGTTGAGTCTGAACTAACATTATGCAGTGAGAGAGGAGACAATGGCTGTGGCAGTGTGGCTACTCAGTAGTGTGTGCTTGGGTAGTAGGTTTGGGTTTGGATTCTGTTCTCTGTGAAGCTCCTCAAGAGGAGTTGTAGAAGTGAGTTTGGAGAAGGGAGCTATGTGTCATGGTGAGAATTAGCGGGTCGTTTGCTTAATGGCTGAGACAGAAAGATTTTTGGGAACTTTGAATGAGAGGAGGAAGAGGTTGGAGATTGGCAGTTCCTTGCCCTTGTGAAGGAAGTCCATGCTCCTGTTTAAATCCAGTTTCTACCTTTTCAGTCTGATTGTATTATTGTTTACTAGAGACACAGCACAATGGGAGCACTAATCTGCAGAAATGCAATCAATTCATAGTTCACCTGCTGATTTCCCTTAGCACACCATCTACTAAGAGAACATAGGTAGAACTTGAACCATTTGTACAACCAGTCTTGATCTTTACTGCCCTCCTTCACAGCTGTCCTCTGTGCACTCATGTATTTCAGAGTGGGTTTTTTCTTTTCTGTGGCAATCTTTAATTTCTGTAAAAGAAACTCCTTCTTTTGCCAGGTTTTCTTGGCAGGAGAAAGGAGAGATTAGAATGGCTTAAGT